TTCGTAATCTACGTCAAAAAATACATTAGAAAAAGTTGGTCTGGTAAATTCTGCAAAAATGTGACACCTTCCTCCAAATCCGACCGGTCTACTTGTCTTTGCCACATGAATAGCATCACAGCCAGTACAGCATGACACAATGTGAGACTGTATTCTTTATAACACAGTTTCATTATGAGTGTTGGTGTAGCTTTTAGTCATGAAAGAAAATGCATTGTTTTCAAAAGTTGAACCTTTGAATGGAAAAATATGGCAATATTCCATGAGGCTCAAAAGCAGTGGATTTCTATGGGTCGCTGTTTAGTGAACCTTTCTGATTTTGTGGTCTGAAAGCAGTATCATCCTACCGCCAGAAAACCACTCCACCAGGTTTCTTGGATCGATACTAGAGGGCCTACAGTCTCTCGTCAGATTATTCTGGAGGAGCAACGTGTATACATTGACCAAAGACATTTTTTACCCTAATAAACCTAACTGGCAAAATCAAACATTAATATAAAGAGGTCTGCAATTATAGGCCTACAATCTCCAATTCATTCTTTTTTATTCATGTTATGGTTAGGCAATTTAAAATTTAAACATTAAATTATTATTAATATTAAATTATTCAGTTAGACTGGCACACATTCAAGCAGGTACTGTGTTCAAGTGTGAGGTTCAGTTCAAAAAGCCTATAGTGTCTGACTTCCACTTCGGTTGAGTTATTTTTTGTTTTTCTTTACCATTTTGAATGGGAATATATTTCGATTTCATGGCATCAAATTACAGTATTTAGTGATATTTTACTGGACTGCCCTGGACAAAGAGTGGTCCATATGTGGAAACGTGTGGTGTAGCGTTATGTTCTTGCCTTCATTCAAAACAAGTTTGCAAGTTCAGCACTGTGCTGGTTGTAAGCTAGACCCCATTAAAAAAATTATTAGTTTATCACCCTCGCGCGCATCACATTTGGGCAAATCCCGATTTAAAAAAAATTTTTTTTTTCATTTTAAACGATCGTTTTTTCGTCATTTTTCACTTGAAAAAAAGATTATTTCACAGGCAATCTTTCTCATGTTGCGCATGCGCACTAAGATAGCTTTTCTACTCTGGCGCGATGTTTGTGTGTGAGATGAATGACCCCGAAACTTTTTCATCATGCCTCTAGGCCTAATTGTAATGCAAACAAAGAGGGGAATATCATGTTTTGAAGGGCTGGTTCGCAAAAAATATCATCCGTTATAATGAATTGTTTGATGCTTTAAAATTGGGCGAAATTGGAGAAGGAGGAAACATAGGAGAAGATTTTACTACGGTACGTATTGCTAGCTGTGCTTGTCATGAATCACCCTTGTCAGGCAGGCCTAACTAGTAGGTCAGGCTAGTGTATTTGAATGGATCGGTCGCAGTGCGGCGGGCGTTCTAGCTAGGCCCCGTCTCCCAAGCCTGGCCTTGAAATAGTCGCACGGGCCTACACATGTTAAGAAAATCAGTTTGGTATAGGCCTAATAAGATTTGTAAATGTTGAGGTATAATTTAAAACTATTTGTCCCTTGAGAAGCAAGACTATAAACGTATCAAGCAAGTAGGCCTACAGTAGGCTAGCCTGGCTTCCTAGAGGGGCCTAGATTAGGCCTAGGCCTAACCCAGCAGGATCTATAGGCCTAGGGCCTAGCCCTACTTAGGGGGCCTAAGTTTGTTTTTGTCATCCAGTCATGGCATACATTTGTTTTTACATCAGTTCTATAGCTCTTCAAAACATATAAAATGTTTTCTTTTTCCTCACTTTTTTGTAATTTTTTTCACAGGTTGTTGCAAAATTTGGTCCCACGAAGAAGGTAGACACATCCATTCAAGTTAAATATATGTATTTTCCTTCATTCTTTCAAAATACATATTGGCAATAATAAACTTACCAAAGCTATGCACTTGCAATGACAGGAGATGTAAAAAGAGGGTCAATAATTTTATTTATTTTCTATATACTTTACCTTGCCAGATGTATTTATGAATTCTCACTTTTTCATATTTAGAAACTGTACTGTATTTTAGCAAAATGTGTTACTGGACAATAAAAACATGTTTTCTTTGTAAATTTGAGTCCGTTCTTGAGACTTTTTATGTGTTTGTCTTCAACCAAATGCACCAGCGAACACCGATAGGATGGTTGAAAAAAAAAAAACCTCCCTCCCTCATCAGTTTTTTTGCTGGGATAGGGTGATAAACTAAAAATTTTTTTTACGGGGCCTAATGTTTGTATCTGCATTTACTGTAGTTGCTTAATGCCAGACTCCGAGGAAAAAAATGGTTGATTTGTTGTAAGACCAATATTTTTTGAGGGAATGGTGGTAACGCCCCCTCCTGCCACTCACCTCCACCCCAGTTTTTAAATATTCAAAAATCTTATAAGTTATTAACTGTTTTTTGTCAAACACTCCTTCTGTGTACTAGGAATATTAATTTTCCTCCATATTCTGGCTTTTAAAATTTTGAGTCTCTTTCTATTAATATGTTTAAAAAAAGAGACCTTTATCTGTATTCAGTATGACTGTACCTTTCCTTTTGTTTATTTAACTTGTGTTTTTTATTTTGGTTTAGTAGTTTTCATTTGTCTGCTTTCTTTTCAGTTTTAGGCTATCTTATTGTTTTTGATTTACTTTTAGTTACTTTTGAATTTCATGATTGTAATTTTTTTTTTAATTTTTTTTTTGTTATTTACCGTATGTACCAGGGCTTCCTTGAAAAGCAGTGCTAGTCACTGAATGGAAACTCCCTGTTTAAAAAAAGCTTTTAAATAAAAAATATAAATATTTAACAAGCATTGATGCAAATATTCATAGCAATAAATAGAAGCCCTACAAACGCCCTTTTTTTACGTCTCTGAGTCTCTTAACCCAAGAATATTAATGGCTGCCTGATTATTTTTGCAATTCATGTGCCAAAGACTCATGTATGTCAATTAGTAGTAGGGTATAGTATATGAACTTAATTATGCAAACAAGTACTAAAATGATTACCGTACCTCCTTAATATGTCTACTATAGTTCCTCATAAATGGTGAAACACTTAAAATTGAAAATGAATATGCTTTGCTTACCCAATTCTACAGTACTGCCAGTACTTTACCTACTTTGCATAACCCTTGCCACACAATGAAACTCAGGTTAGGCCAGACAGAACTTTATCTTAACAGTTAATTTGTAATCTTATCTAGGTAAGTAATATGTAATTTAACCACCTTCGTAATTTTGAAATGGGGTCACTTCATTTTTATAAAATCACTCAAAAGCACCCACTTAAAACATTCCCTAACATGTTTCCCATCATTCACAAAATGTTCCAACCTCCAAAACCATGAGTAAAGTGAAATAGTTATTAATTAGGATAAGCGAAGCTTAAATTACTTAAGAATTTAAGAGATATTTTGCTCCATTTTTTAGTTGTCCCACGGTACTATAGCCAGAAATACAATGGGAGCAGTTATGGAATTGAACCAAGAATCTAAGGTTTGAATGGATTTCCACAGTTCAGCACACACACAGTGGCTAACCACCAGTACAGCTAACTGAGCTAAGCTAAAATAAACAATTAGGTTTCAGTTTTAGATATGGATGTCTCTTTATCTAATTTCTTCTTCTTTATCTTCTTGTTGTAGGTTTGTTCTCTTGCTTGGTTTCCCAGGGCCCCTTCATATCAGCCATGGTGAAAGGGCCACCCACTTATATGCCCTTGAATGGCATTTGAAAGCATTTTCCACCACTTTACAATATTGTTTTTAATCATGCAAAATTTGCTTCACTTATTAGGATCAAAATAATCTTTGGAGAGATTATGTATAAATAATACTCAAATTGTACCTTGGGTATGAAATACACTTTTTGTGTTGTTTTACATTGCTATTATGCATATATAGTTCATGAGTATGAGAGCAATTTAGAAGAGGGACTCTCTAATTTGATGCAAGATTTCTTGGTAGGTCTTCTTGTTTGTATAAACTAGAAAAATATATCAAATATCCAGATTTGCTATGAAAAATTAATAGGCCTATGGTTTAAAGTATCTTCAGGATATACAAGAGTGAAGTGCAATCGAATTTAGTCAATATACAAAGCATGTCAAGTAGGAGATGCCAGAAAATCAACTAGAATTATTGATTAAATCTAATTCCTTCTGAATAAAAATCTGAACATACCATTTTGCTCTTGAAGAGTTTGACTTTCATTTTATCAATAACTGTTTTGTTAGTGGGACAAGCATAATACCTAGATTATATAGCAAGATAAAGCTTTATTAACTTAACAGAAATATGTATTTGGCAAGAAACATCCTCTACAGAACTTTTCACATAGATTAGAAAATGAATACTCAATTATTCTGAATTCGAAGAACAGTATAGATAATCAGGAACCCAATGTCATTTTGTAGGAAGAAATTGATGAAAAATTCTCAGCTAACTTTGTAGAACTTCTTGTTATTGCATGTTAGCAATAAATCTTGAATTTCAAATTTGCACGCAACCTCTTCAATAACTCTAGTTCTAAATAGTAATTTCAAAACCAGGTTGCGTCTCAATGCCATACATATTTAATACTGCAACTTCCTTGTTTGCAATAACAAAAAAAATTGTCTAATTTTGTTTCATAGTTTACGCTCACTGTGTAATTTGCTCTTATAGATCACCATTTTTTATATGATCTGGTAGAAATGTGAATTTCATGTGTCTTGACAATGACCAACATATTTTGGAGAGCACGCACCTGGTCTTAAAGTGATGTCTCTACATACAATCTGTACAATAATATACAATCTATATCACAAAAAGTAATGGACCTGTTCACATGCACATATTTGCACGGAATGTACACTTAATCTGTGATAGCAAATAGCTTAAAGTACTGCAAGAAAATAGTAATATTTAATACAGTATTTCAAATTCTGTATATAAACCCATGTAAGGCATAGGTGTAGACAGGGAGGTGCATGGAGTGCGGACACACCCTCATGGCAGCAAATTAGTTCCAGCCCATGGACTGAAAGTGACAGTAAGTTTTCATTGGAATTTGGATTTACAGTAGTTCCGCATTCTGGGATTTAGTCCCACATTCTCATTTATCACACACCCCTCTCCCTCATCAGACTGAAACCAGCCAATGCTTCTGAACCAGTGGCGGCTCTTGGATATAATTTTTTTTGGGGGGGGGGCCTCTGTCCGATGGGGGGCTTGAGCTTGTATGCCTGAGGAGAGAGAGGGTTTGGGAGGGGGTGCCTCCTGCTAAATGAGATTTTTGTTTAAATAGGGACCTCTGGATGGCCAAAAATGGCACTTTACCACTGTGTGTGTGTTTTTTAGCTTGGTGTCGGTCTATTTTTTTTTTTTTTTTTTTTTGGTCCAACTGCCCGACGAGCTCGGTCGGTGGGGTAGGGAGGCTTGTATAATAGGGCGGGGGGCCTTGTCTGATGGGGGGCATAAGCCCCCCTGCCCCCATTGGTGCCACCACTGTTCTCAACAATTTTTTTTATTATCATTTTTTATTTAATATTTATTTTAGGCAGAAGACTAAGAATTACCAGTTGTAATAAATCAATCACTATCTGAATAGTAATAGCTTTCTAAGAAAAACATGCACTCATGCTCTGCATAAAATAAATTAATTCTTGCTATGAATTAGAGTGTAGTATTGGATTTAAGCCCAAGACACTCAGATTGGAAGGAGGCCATCTTTAAGCTGCAATTCCTTATGTGTGATAAAAAGTAATACCGAAATAACTGAATATGATCTTTCTAAAAGTAATATAGTACAGAGAATATACATTTTAAAAAGAAAATACAACAAAATAGTAATAAAACAATTATGATACCAAAATAATTATGATACCAAAATACTCTCATTCCATGATGCTATCTGCATTCAAACAATGAAACTAGCATAAAATGAACAATAAATCTACAGTAAATACAGTATTACAGAAAAGCATACTTTAGTGTACAAGACATAAATAACCTACCTAAGCTGGCATACTTGCATTGAAATCACATTCCCATTTTGAAATTAATTTGAAACACTGTTTAGAATTCATACTAGTATCAAAATGAATGAAAAATGTATGAAGTAAATATTAGTGAAAATAATCCACATTAATGCCTTAGTCATATTTAGAATCATGGTTCATGGTGATACTGTAGCCGTCCAGTCCCATACTTCTGGGTGCAAGTCCAGCAACTTGGTTTTTCTTGTGGAAAAATAATGGACATTTACAGTATGTATACAGTATCTGTATGCCTTTTCTTTGCAGGTGTGAAGCACATCAAACAGGAGCTGATGATGCCCTCCTCGAGACTTGGTAAATAAACCCTCCAGAAAGACTATTTGACATAGATTTTATTATTTAATAATTAGTACAGCTATTTTTAATAAACCGCCATCATTTCCCTCTACATGTACATCAAACTGTATGGATGAGTGAGTCGTTACAAAATCATCAAAGATCTACAACTACTACAGTAATCCCCTACAGTTCAGTCCAGAGTTCTATGGGGATTTGACTCATACCAGGGATGGATCCCAGGGGCCAGGGCCCTAATAAAAATTAGAAAAAGAGAGAAGAATGAAAAGAAAAGAAATGAAAAAGAGGATGCACCACTATTCCAAAGTCAGTAAATTTTTGGCCAACAATCACAACTCACGGTGGTGCTTTGCATGTGTAGCATGGACCCTACCCAGATTTTTGTCTGTATTTTCCCCTGCACACAACTCCACTCCCTACTAGGATGTGCCATGATACAATGAAGACCAATTGGTTAAATATTTTATTTATGCCAAATGCAATTAGTCTCTTTAACAACAATTTCAAAAGAAAATAAAATGCTAATAGACCTATATAATTTTCATTTAATTTTTGGAACTATTTTTAGACCTACTATGGTAATGTACTAGTAAATATATACTGTAATTTGGTTCTTTAAAAGTACTGTACATTCACTCTAAATTATCTCAGGGTTAAAATCATGAGATAACAACCACTACAGGTAGAACACACTATAGTGTTTCGTATAAAAATTATTAAACAAATGTGTAAATTAATAAATAATTAATGTGTAAATTAATAAACAATTAAGTGTAAATGAATTTTACTGTCTAGACCTTGCAACAAAATAATGCTGCATGGGTTGAGATGGTCTAAAAATGAGATTATTTCACTCATCTCTGCTGAAGGCCATGTTCCTGGGGTCATGTTCTAATGAACTAATAGCTTTGTAATTGCTGTAACTGTACAAGTACCATTATTAAATTTGACAAAAGAGATAATTAGGTAACAGTAACATTATGGTGCTGTCAACAGCTGGTGCAATTTCATTCTACGGCCTATTTCTACTGACGAGAAAGAACTGTTCTTAAGAACTGTACTTTTTAAGATCAGTTCTTTGTGGCAGTAGAAACGTGACCCACAAAAAAGAACCGTTCTTTTCGGAATTCCAAAAAACAGTTCTTTGCCACAGAATCGGTATATCCATGCCTGAAACGCCAAAGAACCATTCTTTGAACAAAAGAGCCGTTCTTCGTAGAGTAGTTTTTAGCTGCAGCATAAATGTGGCCTAAGTTAACCTACAGTAAGGTCAACTTAGCCAGTAGGCTAGGCCTATATATAGTACTAGTAGAATTGTTGAAAAGGATGTAATTCAGATTTAATTTTTAAAAGACTTCGTAAAATACTTGTCATATCAATGATTTAGGCCTCCTACATGCTTTTACCTTTTGGACATATTCTTAAGTTCTTTAATATTGTTCCACCATACCAGTAATACGATAGGCCTATCACTGATATAGTATATGAACGATATTATTTGTTATTAGGAGGAATCAGTAAAACAAATGTAAGAACAAAAGTTTAACCATTAATTGTTTTATTTAAATACCGACATGAGCTAGTATTGGGACAGCACGAATCATCGCTGTTTGTTTTTATCCTAGTAGTCGCATGAAAATGTTTTGTTAAAAGCTTTTATTAAAGTAATTTCAAATTACAATATGGGTAATTGTTACGTCATGCATATGTAACGTATCAGTCCAGACACCGTTTTGCGTGGAATCAAAAATCAGTTGCAATGCAGTTCTTATCTTGCTAATCTGATAATCAACCAATGATAAGAGAACCGTTTCTTTCTCTATATTCAGTAGAAACACGCCAGTACTCAGGGTCACAACAAAAACCATGGACTAAGCTAATATTGGTATACAAGGTCAAAAAATTATCAATATAATATTCTTTGATTAACAATTGGGTGAGTACTTCAACCTGACAGTAGATTAACATCTAGATCGAGTTTCAGACAAATGTGGACAGTCCGATATTGTACCAAAATATAACCAGAGGTGGCGCCAGAATTTACCCAACAGATATCCTAAACTGCTGTAAGTGGGTGGGGCCATAGGGACCACCCACAACCCTTTGAAGGGGATCCTGAGGGAGGCCCGAAAGCTCAAACTATTTATAAATTTTAAAGGCTTCGTTAGCCTAATGTCTTATGATATGTAAAAATCACACAGGATTCTGTCTCCATCCTGATGTATTGTGCTGGGCTTTCCTTTAATTTAATGTTTTACTTTGTAATTTAAAAAAATTGACTGTTATTACTCGGATCGGAACTTGTTGTAAAATACAGCACAGTAATCTTGCCACAGAAGGTAATATTGTTGAGGTGGTACCAACCATGTTGCCATTAATTAAATCACCTTCACAAACCGCAAGATGTAATAATAGCAGCATAGATTATTTAAAATATCCTTATATCCGCAGATAAGGAAGTAGACACAAGTAGCTCCTAGACAGTATTAAGAAAGTGGGACAGTATTAAAAAATAATCCCAGTCACACCTTGTAAATTTCCCAGGAAGAATATTGTCTTATGAGAATACTCAATCTTGAGCAGACAAGTTTTTGTAGCACAGTCAAAGCTGCAACATTATTAATTATACAATTTCAAAGAAAATAACAGGATCTTAACCGATCTAAACAGCTTGAGGGTAGAACATCTCCCAATTGCTTACCTCTCTGTCCAAACATAGTTCGTAATTGAAAAAAATTGTAATTCAGAGCGTTCAAATTTTCATAGCATCTCAGTAATGAGGGTAGGCATTACCGGTATACACTATTATAGAGGCTTTGACATGGGAGCAAACTTTTGTCACTATATATGACTTGGATTTTACTATTTTCTGCAACAAAATCATACTGTACAGAAGCCAAAATTATTTGTACTCACTGTGTATAGTATTCATTTAAGTGATTTCCTAATGAAAACATTTTAATAGTAAAAATTAACAAAAACAAAACAAAATGCGAGGTTCTCTATTTCTACTGTACAATAGCTGCCGAACAAACATGCACAGCACTATATCTTGGCTGAAGACGAGTATGTCTTGTTATAAAGGAAGTTTTATGACAATTTATTAGTTTAAACATTTTCTTTCTCGGCTGAAATATAAACTTTTATATTATTTTTGAAGATTTTAACATACACAATTTTTAACATTGTTTGTAATGACATCATCAAGTTCGTAATTGAGAGTGCATAATCATTTGGAGATGTTTCTGTACATTAATAATGTGTCTAAGACTACAACATACATCTCTTGCTGAGTTACTCCAAAACAAGATAAATAAAAGGTACAGTACATTATGCATATTATGCATGGAAAAAACTCATAAACAAGCCAGATAATGTTGTGACCTCTGTTGCATTTTACTGTATTAATATTA